CCTTTAACGCGGAAGCCAATCGGCCTGCCCCTCCGGTCCAAATTCATTCGAGGCCGGGGGCTACAAAAAATTGATAGGTAGTGTGTGGTTTAACATAATGAGCCTCAGGTTTTCCTTTTTTTCATTTTTTTCGGAGCAAAAAGAGGCCCAAGAGGGGGGGGGGGGGCGAGGGAAGGGAGTGCTTAATTCTGAGATGCTAAGCTGGACCTGCTTCCCACTGGAGAAGCCGAAGCTGCGTTATGGCCTCAGTATTTCCGGGTTGAAGTGCGAGGTATGTGGCCGCCTCCTCAATCAAATCAAATGTAATAAAAGCTTCTGCCTTTCCAAAGGACCCAAAACAACAAAAAAAAAGACCAAAAAAAACTAATCTAAACCTAAAAGCCACTTTAAAAAAAAAAAAAAAGAACAAAAACAAAGAAAAACTAAACTATTTCCAACCCATATATTCGGACAATTGGGTGAGATTGTGCTCAGAATCCTCAAGATGCACTGCCAGCTATATGAAATGCAGGCCAGGGGTGCGGTCCCACCAGCCAAAAGAACTGGATTAAGCACCTGAATCTGGATGCCTTGTGAGCAGAGATGCAGAAAAGCAGATCAATCCCTCTCCACAACCATGTCCACATTCAGGCGTTAAATCCAATCTTCTTTGCTAATGGGACCTCGGCCCCCGAAGGGATATCACGTACGTCTGGCCTGACTCACCTTATCATAATTTTCAAAAATAAAATGAAGAAAAACTTACAATACGAGAGGGAGTAAGCATGCCACTCTAGATCTCTTGCCTGGGGCGAGGTCCCTCAACCAAAGAGGATTGGATTGAAAGCCTGAATCTGGACGTGTTTGCGGAAAGGTACAGAAATCGAGATTGAACTACTTCTCTGCACTTCTGCTTAAAACACGTCCAGATTCAGGCGTTCAATCCAATCCTTTTTGCCAGTGGGGCCTCACCCCTGAAGTACAAAAAAGCTATTTGCATTCGTGAGGCCAAAGGTCTCTTCTTGAGTTCTGCGCACTCACGTTGGGCCTGCGCCCCTCTGCCTGCTGCCAAATAACAGGTCATGAGCTCAAGCCCCCCTCCCTAACAATTGCAGCGCCCCGCCATAAAAAATGTCACCTTGGGACTTCTCGACCATAAGGCAACTGGAACACACGGAGTTCAATCAATACACACGCCTAAGTGCTGGCCACCGGGGCCGAGATTCCACTACCTTCTTCCTCCCACTACCTTCTTCCTCCCGAACACCATGATCCAGTATCATGCCTGCACTGGGAGCAGAACAGGATTTGTATATGTTCATGGTGAGTGGACATTGATTATGTTCGAGGGAAAGCGCGAGCACGGATTGAGGGATCCTGACCATAAACAAGAGAAGATCGTTCGTCAGCATCTTGCTACGGGTTATGCGCTGGGACAACTGACAATGCGGAATCGTCACAGGTAAATTAACACCTGCACCAATGGGCTTAGCTCAGTTGGCACACCCCTAAACTAATTGTTGAAATGCAGACCTGAGTTTGAATCCAGATGGAACCAGATGAACGAAGTTCCTGAATTACCGGGACAATTGCACGAGGCCAAGCAGAAGGAAGCGACTGGATCTCTGTACACGCATCACGTGTCTGTCAGTGTGCCGTCGTAAGAGGAAACGACAAGGTGGAACGGGCAGGAAACAACAACTTGAAGATTAAATGTGCAGTCGACGACGCATCATGCAAGTTTACATGGGTGGGCGGCACTTTTCAACGGCATTGCGCCATCGGCATTGCGTGCGGCCAAGCAGAAGGAAGGGACTGGAACTCTGTACACATGTCACGTGTCTGTCAGCGTGCCGTAGTTGCGCACGGCCAAGCAGAAGGAAGGGACTGGAACTCTGTACACATGTCACGTGTCTGTCCGCGTGCCGTAGTGAGAGAAAACAACAAGGTGGAACGAGCAGCAAACAACAACATTAAATGGGCAGTCGACCACGCATCATGCAAGTTTACATGGGGCACTCGTCCTGCCCATCACTATCCAATTATTTCAATTTTCAACGGATGCCCAAAGGACGAAAAAGGAGCCATTGGCTCGCAATCATCAAAATGAGCGACCAAGAGGGCGGGGGGGGGGGCACACTCTCTTTTCTCTTCATTTCCCCCAAAAGCAGAAACGACTCCGCAGGGATGGCTCCTCGCAGGAGACGTCATGGAGCCATATACTGACACAAGAACTCTCAAGCAACTATCTAGCCCGATTTACGGCCAGATTCGATCGGGAAAGTGGAAGTGTACGCCCTACACTTCCCTAAACGTCTAAGTTGAAAAAGCAGAGGGGGTAAGGGAATAGAGAGGAAAAGAGGGACATACTACGAAAAACCGTATGAGAGTTGTTGGTCACTACTGATGTCCGGGGCAAGGTCTCACTTATTCAGTACAGCGGACTTTTTACTCTAAGCTCTGGTCGTGATTCCAGTCAGATACATTCAGGTCTTGGCCGTCATTACAGATATATTTAGCAAAGTGCTTGTGTGAACATGATGTCCTCAGATTCCTTTCTTCCACTCGTAAATTAACGATGATCAGCGACCAGAAAGGAGTAGTCCATGCACGTTGGACCACGCCCCCAAAAGCCTGCGCATGCAATCACCGAAGAAAATTTCAAGCAACGTCTATTCACACCTACTTCGAGATGGCATTGTTCCACAAGCGGCAAGGTCGCACTCACATGGATTGCTCGCCCGGAATCCGGTGCATGCATCCACCGAAGGAGATTTCAAACAACGTAGTTGTACACCTACACCTACTTCGGGACGGCATTTCCAACAGCAGCGTACACCTGCACCTACACCTACTTCAAGACGGCAGCGAGATCCCACTTACACGGATTGCTCGTTTCAGGTCATCGACGTTTACCATCTACGGTCCAAAAAATAAAAAAATAAAAAAATAAAAAAAGCATGAGGGCAAGGAGGGCTAAGCCCAGGCAAGAGAAACGTGTGACTTTTTTTTTTTTTTTTTTTTTCGTAAGATTGAAGGTAACAGAAACCATGAAGTGGGAATCTTTTCTCGGTCCTGCACCTCTCAGGGCATACTCACACTAGGACTTTCATGGATGTTCATGACCGCTTTCCCGACCGGGCATGGATGCACGTGACCGCAATTACGTCCACAGAGGGAGTGGGAAAAGTCCTAGTGTGAGCATGCCCTCAGTTCGTTTCTATCTCGAGTATCTCCTCGGAGACCGCCCCCCCACACCCCCCACCACGCTCCCCGTCTTCTTCCCCCAACTTACACGTAAGCCTTCCGTCGGAGAGGAAATAACAGAAACAAAGGAACAATCAAATTGCCATCTTTTCTCGGACGCTTACGTCTGTCTATTTCTTTTTCATCAAGTATCACTTCACCGCCCTCTTCTCCAAACCGTCTTTCCCGCCGCTCCCTGTCCCTCCCTCCCTCCCTCCCTCCCTCCCTCCCCCCTCAATCAAACTTCCCTCCCTTCTCCCCACACTTGCACGTCAATCGCTCATCACCCGAAGGGGTCACGTCCACTCACACAGATCTATCAGTTGGGATCGCACCGCGGATCACCACGACCCACTGCTTCTCCCAATCATCTCAGGCACTTCGGTTGGTCGACGCAATCACCTTGCCAGGCGAGGCGGCAGTGTTCACTCTAACGTCAAACTTTTACCGCTTCGTCAACCGTTCTTTTTTTTCTTTCTTTTTTTTTTTCTTTTTTTTTTGCTAATCTTCTCTGTATCGCTCCAAATTTACCGGGCGTCAAGCGTTCTGTTCTTTTTTTGGGGAAGCTTTTCCGTGTCAGGATTCAAACTCGTGATCTGTCTGCTACATGTGTGTGTACCATTCAGTCGCATGGGCCCGGCAACNATCTGTCTGCTACATGTGTGTGTACCATTCAGTCGCATGGGCCCGGCAACCTCGTTGCATGCCATAGCCCATACGCATCATGTCTGTTTTCGTTTCTTAACGTTTGTTTTTTTTTTTTAACGTTTTTTCATATACACCCAGATTTGAGAATTACAACCGGAAGAAAAAAAAAAAAAGGTTCAACGAGAGGACAGCAGCGGAGAACTAAACTTAGATAAGCAGATGAAGAAATAGAATGAGGGCAAAGAAATTTGGATTACAATACCCGACATGCGATCACTAAAGTGACAAACGACAGTCCGCCGCTGACAGCAAAACTTACAAATGGTCGCCGACAGGAAAAACTATAGTAGTACTATAGTAGTACTATAGTAGTACTTCAAAGGGGGGAGAAAGTGGCGGTACGTTAGAGACGGAGAAATGGTACCAGTAGTACTCTCAAGGGGGGTAATGGTGATATCTTGAAGGGGGAAACCGCGGGAGATTTTATCATCAAGGGGGGTAATGGTGAAATCTTGAAGGGGGAAAACGTGGGAGATGTTATCATCAATCGGATTCAGACGAATATTAAAAAAAGAACGGTCCAACTTTTCAGGACATCCATCAAAATTGGAACGATGCAGAGAAGATTAGCATGGCCCCTGACACGCACAATTTGGGAAATGGTCCAATTTTTTACCCAAAGCCTACAGATCCGTATTTAAGCAAAAAAAAAAAGAAAAAAAAAAGGTCGTTTTGGATGTGGGCGCACAACCAACACCTCAGCCCCATTACCTCAGAAAACAGCGGAAGGCCCAGCAGTTATATAAAGCAAAACCTTCTCTCTCTCTCTCTCTCTCTCTCTCTCTCTCTCTCTCTCTCTCTCTCTCTCTCTCTCTCTCTCCTCTATCTCTCTCTCCCGCGCGCGCGCGCGCGCGCACACACACACACAGCGATAAGCAAGGGGGTAACGGCTGAGAGAGATGGCAAACAGAACACTGACGATCACATAGGCGCGGGAAAAGGGGAAAGATAAGATTTTCATTCAGTAGAGTAGACGAGACGAGACAGGGAGGAAGTTACTGCGACGAGGTCGAGCGACATCGACCTGTCCAAGGAGAAGGCGGCACAAAGGACGAAGAAAGACTGACCTGGCGAATGATTTTCAAGAAATCCTCCCTCATAGCGCGAGTGCTTCCGGGGTTCTTCTCGGGAAGGAGTTTTACGATGTTCCTAGCCTGGGCTCCACCTATACCCCGCTCCAAGACAACGGCCAATGCCTTGTCCACGTCCGCAGGTTTAATGACCTCCTTAGGGCCCAATACGATCTCCACAATATCCCACAGCAGCTCCTTGATCTTCTGGATCTTCTTCTTAGCGGCACCGGTTTCCTTCACCATCATCTTCCCTGTGAGGGGATTTTTCTTGCGCGAACAGATGGTGATTTCCAGCAACGATTTTGCAGGCCTTCCTTTCTTCTTCGACCCCGGCATGCTGGTCCCCCTTTGTCCTCCGCGCAATGAGACACCTCTGCGCTGCCGGCGGGATGGTGGAGACGCTTGAGGAGCTGCTGCCGGCGATGCTGCGGCCGCTGTTGCCGCCGCTGCAGACGACACACAACCAGAAGTTAGGATGGAGACAACAGGCCTTTCCGCCAACGCCGAGCGAGCAGCGGGGCTACCGGTCGCCTCGTAGGCGACCGACACCGAGACCTTCTCCTGATTGGTCGTCGGCGGCGGACGGACTGGCGGGGACTGGTTATTACCTCTACCGTTCGCATCTCCATCCGCAGCCGCTGAGCAAAGATGGCTCGCTAATCTCGTCTGCGGCCCGACCCCCGAACCAGCCGCCGCCGCCGCCGCCGCCGCCGCCGCCGGCCCTAAAGCGGTCGTCGGGGGAACGTTCCCTGGCGACCGGTCGCCTTCGGTAGCTGCCGTTTGGAAGGACGGCTCCACTACTCCCCCTCCGCCTCCTTCCCGAAGGCGTCTCATCATGTCCTCAGCTGAAGACGCCGCCGGACCCGCGTTCATATTCATCTGCAAAAACTGACGACCTGCGCAGCATCCCTTCTTATTGCCCTCCTCTAGCCCCTCTTCACGTCCCTCTCTCTGTCTCTTTTGCTGATCCTGCTGTTGAGGATTCTCCCGCTCTCTCTCGGCCGCCGCCTCCTTGCATTGATGCTCCTGCTGATGTTCATCGACGACAGCCGCGCCCCCGCCCGTGGTCGTGCTGCAATCCGGACTCGATTGACCGGTCGTTGCGGCCAAGCGACCGTCCGCCGAGCTGCGCTCCGTCGTGCCACTCATACAACCTACCGGCGGTCGTACCGCCGGACCATTTTGTTCCTTGTTGGAAGATGACGTGGGGGAGGAGTTGAGACCCGCGGCCGAACAGTGCACTACGTACTTCGGCATATTAGTGGGCTTTATCATACTGCAACCCTGCATGGGCAATGTATCTACAGTCGTCGATCTGGCCTCCTGCTGCTGCTGGAGCTGCTGCTGGAGCTGCTGCTGGAGCTGCTGCTGGTGCTGGGGGAACGGGGAGTGATTAGGAGAAGACAGCGTAGCCGGGGATTGCGACTGCAAGAACCCAGCAACCATGGAGGAGATGGTGACAACCTGAGTGCCATTGTTCACCAAAGGACCCCCCCTCACGGGCAGCAGCTCCGCCCGCCCGGCACCAGAGTCCCCATCACAGCGAGCAAGTACCACCATAGCGGGGGAACGCGTCCGCGACCGGCTCATCCTCTCAACCGATTGCAACACTTCACTGTGCGACCGGTCGTCCGATATGCTACCACCAGATCGAGCAGGGACGCTTTCTGCTGAGCGAGAATAACCCGTAGCCGTCGGAGCTCGGCAGGTCGTTTCCATCATCTCCCTCTCTCTGTTCGCGCCTCCTTCCGCGGTAGAGCTTGGTCCCACCGCCACCGCGCCATCTGGTGCCCTCCTTCCCACCGCCACGTCTACTGCTCTCGCCGAGCTCGGCGACCTCGCCCCACACGCTGCCGCCCCCACCGCCGCCGCCATTGCCGCCGCTCCTTCGCTGTACGCTCGCAGCCCTGCCAACCCCCCCTCTTCACTCTGTTGAATTTCACTTGGCTCCACCTTCACCCCGATAATCCTCGCTGCTGCTAAAGGCACCGGCACTCCGAACGCCACCCGCAGCCGCTCATGGGCACCTCCATCTTGCCCTCCAGCTCGGTCGGGACGCCTGATCTTGAACCTATTTTCGGACAAAAAGTCGATCACTCTCTGACCCTCAACGCTGCAGAGGAGGTTCTTTGCTCTCTGTTGTCTCTCTTCTTCGCTCTTCGAATCGTTGGCCTTCCACGCTGGTGCCGGGGGCGTTAACGGCGCCGCCATGGAGCATACGCTACAAAAGGGAACACAAATGTTGGAACTTGCGCCTTCGGGCTGCTGCAGTACCTGCTGCTGCTGCTGCTGCAGTTTCAGCTGCTGCTGCTGCAGTTTCAGCTGCTGCTGCTGCTGAATCTGCTGATGCTGTTGCAGCTGCTTCTGCAGTTGAAGCTGCTGCTGTTGCTGCTGCTGCTGCTGCTGCTGCTGAAGATGCAGCTGTTGCTGCTGCTGCAATTGATGCGCGGCCCGCAGCGTCGGCTCATCTTGCCCCGCTGGTTTTTGCTGATGCAAATGATAATGCTGCAACTGCCCGTTTGCCAAAAGACTGCTCGTATGGCTGGGCATAGGCATAGGCGTTAACGTGGCCGTCGACGTGGCGTTTCCCATCCGAATGATGCGCGCGCCCTGACACAGCGGCGCCGCGGAAACCGCCATGTGACCAACAATTCCACCCGCCACCGCCAGAAACTCCGGCGGCCGTCCCGTCATCGTCAGACCAACACGGTTTCCCCCCGACTGCCCGGGACTCCCATTCGACGACATCTTCACCGCTCCCTCTTTCATCGACCCTGGCGACGACAGATTACCTCGCCCCCCTTCTCCTCCTCTTGGCTCTCCCGCCACTCCCGTCCCAGCCATTGGACACGACTCACCCGATTGGCTATCTACGGACGACTTCGGGCTCTCCTCCCCTCCTCCTCCTGCTACACCTGCCGCTGCTCCTGCACCTTCTCGTCCTCCACCGTCACCAGCCCCAACAACTTCATGATGATGCGCATTCGGCGAGAGATGCCTTTCCCCGAACCCGGATATGAAGTTGCGCTCGGCTTCCACGGACGTTCTTCCACCATATCCACCATTACCGCAACCATAACCCATCGTCAAGGAGACGCTGCTTTCAAATCCAATGCCGCCAGCGGGACCCTTAGTCTGATTCCCACTCTGAACCTCCGGATGCTGGGACTCCTGATTGGGACCAGGAGGGGAACAAGGCTCCAATTTACACAAGACGGTCATCTCCCTGCCCTTTCGCTCTGGCTGTGTTTGCGACGATTTGCAAACCGGAGATCTCGAGACACAATCAAGGTAATTGCGCTCTAAAAGTGGAGGGGGGGGAGGAGGAGGAGGAGTACGCGCAGGAGGAGATCCATGTGCGGTAGCGCCACAAGACTCTCGCGGCAATGCATGCACGTCAACGCGCCGCAGATCGTTGGCGCATTCGGTTTCAACACGATGATTACCCTGATCAGAAGAAGCGGAGGCATTCTCGACCATAGAGCGAGAAACAGCTGCAGCGGTCGAAAAGCATGACGCTCGACAAACATCAGTTCCCCCTGCCTGACTGCCGGGTCGCTGCTGCCCAGCACGGCCGTCCGGCGTTTCTTCCGACTTCAATCGTTTCTCTGGAGGAGAGCAAAGAGACAATCCGTCCCCTATAACGAAGGGGAAGGCCGAGGTGGGGCCGCACACAGCCGCCGCACCTGCCTTCCTAACCGTGCCCATGCTCAAATGCTTATGCTTCTCTCTCTCTCTCTCTCTCTCTCTCTCTCTCTCTCTCTCTCTCTCTCTCTCTCTCTCTCTCTCTCTCTCTCTCTGTGTGTGTGTGTGTGTGTGT